CATTTTTTTAAATGCTGTAAATTTTCTATTTTCTTAAGAAACAATTTAGGGTAAATCTATCAACCTACGAATAGCTCTGAAATCGCTCAAAGAACACCACGACCCCTGACTTCATTCTGCAACCTGCCAACCACTCTGAGTGCCCGGGGGCTCATTTGAAAATGAGGGCAGAGTCTGGGCTCTCCTGGTTCTAAGTCCTCCACACTGAGTGACACTAGCGGCCACCTCAAGGTGGGTCAATTCAGTGAGTGTCAGCGCATAACTGGAGACGCAGCTCCCCGATGTGGTACAGGCCGTTGTCCCCTCTGCCAGGTACACCTGACTCAAGTCGAGCCTGACCAGGCCTACACCTGGGCTCCCGAGTCCCTGAGCCACCAACAAGGGAGAAGCAGTTAGGCTAACACAGGCTTCTGTTCAGAGCCGGTGCTCTTGCAACTCGAGCAGTTTGGGTTATTTTTGCTATTGTTTCAACAGCCCAAGTTCCACTTTGCATTTCACAAATATGGAAACGTCTTAAGAGAAACCATCCTGTTTCTTCGGGCCGTTGCTCCCATTCCTAGAGAATTTACGAAGGAAGAGCAGACACCAGGAACCGTCTGGAATCAGGAGAGCAGGCGTCCAGCCCAGCCGAGGTGCACCCATTTTTTTTGCGAAGCACTCTGTGCAGAGCAATACATTCCTGACCGATTTCAGCCAGGTCCCCAGAGAATGAAGCTCGCGCACCGGGCTGGCCGCCCTCCTGGAGCGAACGCGCCGAGGAAGGGGACGCCGTCCCTCCACCCAGCCCCCTGCAGGGCAGGCGCGGGCGCAGCGGCCCGGGAGGCGCGTTACCTGGGGGACTCGGCGGTGAAGCTGCCGCCGTCCAGCAGCCGCATTTTGCAGAAAAGGACACCGTTGACGAAGGGCACTGAGGAGAGCTCCTCGAGCCCGAAGTCCACCTTAAACTTAAACTTCTTCTTCTTCATCATCATGAGAGCCAGACGCCGGCGGGCGGGGTGCGGGGGTGGCCCCAAGGGGCGCGCGGG